TACATATTGTTACTGTTGTTGTGTACTGTGCAGTCGGTTCTGACCCATAGCGACCCTGTACAGGGTTTCCGAGGCTGTAAATCTTTACGGGAGCAGAAAGTCTCATCTTTCTCCCCTGGAACACCTGGTAGTTTTGAATTGCTGACCCTGAGGTAGCAGCCCAATTCGTAACCACTACACTACGAGAGCTCCTTACATACATACATATAAATATATGTATATACACTCACACACATAGGAATGAGTCACCCAGATATACATATATACAAATACATAGGGATGTGTCACTTAATGTCCTTGATATGGTCTGTGAATTGGAATGTGATTTGGACATTGTGCAAACAGCATATTAAAACTTTATGGAATCCTGCTTCCAATTGTCCTTGTTGCCACTGCTGGGTCTGCCAGTGGAGGCCAGAGGAATGGGTGCTGGAAGTATTGCTGGCTGAGACAGTGGGGGCAGAGGCCAGCAGAGAGGGAGTGGTGCCTGCTCAGTCCCGCACACTGTTCTTCCTGCCTGAGCAGCATGAGCATCCCGGGTACCACAGCCCACTGCTGCCACCACCTGCCCTCCAGACAAAGCTCAAGAGTCTACGCCCAGACACATGTCTCCTACCTGTGGTCCAGCACTGCAAGAGTCTGGGTCTTTAAAACCATTGTTGTTGCTGTTAAATTCTGTTGAGTCAGTTCTGACTCATAGTGACCTTGTACAGGGTTTACAAGAAGTGGCTGGTGCATTTGAACCACCAACCTTATGGTTCAAATCAACTTTGCGGTCCAGTGCTTTATCCCACAGCGCCACACCTAATAAGCAAAAGGAAAACTACATTTCCTTAAAAAAAAAAAAAAATCCTATGGAACCACAGACGTATTTGCAGCCTGATATTGCCCAAGTGGCCATTAAGCGACACTTATCTGTAAATATAAAGATATAAAAGCATGTTTTTGCTTGAGATCAATAACTTCTAAGAAATCATATGTCCTTGTAAGGTGTCAGTTACTCATTTGTTTTTGTTTTGTTTTTTAAAGGTTTTACTGTGAATTATGTGATAGTTTACATGAGAGAACATTAGTTTTACATTCATCCTATCGTTTCATTGCCATGGTTACAATCCCCTCCATGCATCATCAACCAACCAAAAGGTATACACTACAAGCCTGCCCCCCCACCCCCACCCCGGTCAACAGCACACAGCCCCTTCTCCCTCTCTGGGTCTAAAGTCCCCAGCTGCTCCATCTCTCCACGTCATCGTCTCTGCCTCCATCTCTGGCATCACTGCTTCTCTGGGTAGGGGCCCGCTCTCCGCTCTTCTCCCTTGATGGTCCTAGGGACCTCCACTCCTAGGCTGAAAAGTTAATCACTCCCCTCCTTGCTATAAAACGTCTACCTTTACATTTCCGACCCTCACACTCAGTCCTGATAACCATTAGTCACTATTGTATCACAAGAGACCCGTCTGCATTTCATTTCATTTCATCAGTACTCATTTGTTTTGTGGTCACAGATTACCTTCTCTTTCTTTCATAGACTAGTGCTAAAGAAAAGTAAGTTGCTTAAGGTCTTTAGCAACTCTGTCAGTATATTTGAAAAATCATTTTGATACCAGTATATATGAATGTTTCCTTCATTCTAAACATTTGTGACTGCTTAGTGAATTCAGTAAATGTGTCTTGAACACCTACTGTGTGATGCACTGAGGAGCTCTAGTGACCACCAACAGGCAGTCAGCCTTAATTCACAAACACAGTGCTGATAGACACTGGCACACTCTAGAGAACAATTCAGTGCAAACTCCGCCAACCAGAAAGCCAACAGATGGCTACAGGGGAGCACTCAAAAAGTAATCATTATAAAACCACATGCCAAAGCATCAAGCAGTTTGGGAAGCAGTGCCTTGAAGTTCTTCCTTAGTTTCCTCCTCAAAAGAATTTGACCTTAAAAACATCCATCACTAACCTAGTTTGTAGTTCATCTTCTTTTTGAAGGCAGTAGCTGATCATGGTTATCTCTAACCCAGAAGGATATCTGAGACTTTGATTCAAACACTTGGAATTAAATTTCACAATTACCCTGCCTCGTCTCCTAAGGCAGAGGTGGGGAACCTTTTTTCTGCCAAGGGCCATCTGGACCATGATAACATCATTGGTGGGCCATACAAAATTATCAACATAAAAAGTAGCCTGCTAGATTTAGTCAAACATTTAATTAACTCACCTCAAGTTCATTGGGTTGGAAACACCTTGGCAGCAGGAAACAACAATAAGGTGATGATTGGAACTGCAGTTGCCTTGGCAATATCAGACCAAGTAATTTTCAGGGCCTTAAAGGAGCTCTGGTAGCGTAGTGGTTATGAGTCGGGCTGCTAAACTTAAGGTCAGCAGTTCGAAACTACCAGCAGTTCTGCAGGAGAAAGATGAGTTGTTCTGCTCCCATAAAGATTTACAGCCTTGGAAACATTATGAATCAGAACCAACTCCACGATACTTAACAACAACAACAACATATGGAGTTCTAGTATGGTGCTGTGGGTTAATACGCTGGACTGCAAGGTCGGTTTGAACCGCAAGGCTGGCAGTTCAAGCTCACTACCTGCTCCTTGAAACCCTATACAGGGTCACCATGAGTCAGAACTGACTCGACGACACTTAACAACAACAGCAACAACATACAGCTGACAGGCTAGATGTTCCCCACCCCTGCCCTAGGGAATTGCTATAAGAATGTTTCAAGAGCATTCCCTCAATAATAACCAACACTTAATTTTAACAAATTAAATGTAAACCTTACGTGTGCTGCTGGCCCTTTTGTGTTTAGATAGCTCAGCTGGATAAGATCCAGCACTATCTTTTTTAACAGCCTAATTTCCTGGCAATAATACAAATGAATCTTTTAGATTATAAGATGTTTCTTCAACAACTCACAGAAACCTCTAAGAACTTCATTTTCTATGGCTATATTATTATCACTGAAAATACTATTAAATTCTTCTGCATATTTTAAGAGCTTTATCTTTTATGAATATTAGTGAGTGGTTTTATTTTTATTTTGGTATTAACTCTTTTCTATATCTTTCTGCTTGTAAATCTATATGTATTGGTGCTATAATGTTTATTCTTGTATAATGTGATTTATAGAGTATGCTCACATATAATATGTTTATAGGTAACTCCCAATGTATCATCTTCTTATCCATTTACTCAACCAATATTTATTAAACCCCTAATATATATCATGCACAGTGGTATATAAACTCTATGAGCTATATACTATTATTCGTTGACCATTTTACAGATGAGCAGAAAAGTTAAATAATTGATCAAAGTTCACACATGTGAGAAAGAATATCCTAGATTGGTGATTGGTGGTGGTGGTTGTTAAGAGCCGCCAAGTCAGTTCCAACTTGAAGCAATCCTGTATAGGGTTGTCAAGGAGTAGCTAATGGGTTTGAACCACCAACCTTGCAGTTAGCACTCATATAATGGTGTTATTGTTTAAGTGCCATCGAGTTGATTTCAACCCATAGCAACCCTGTATAGGGTTTCTGAGGAGCAACTGGTGAGCTTGAACCGCCGACCTTGCAGTTCAAACGGCTTTCCAGTCTGACGCATTAACCCACAGCGTCACACCAGGACTCCGTTATAATGATGAGAGTAAATTCTGGAACCAGGTTGACTGAGTTTAATCCTGGCTCTGCCTTTTACTAGATGTGTGGCTTTGTATATCTTTCTTAACGTACGTATGTCTAGTGTGCTTGTCTGTCAAATGAGGACAACCACAGTCCATACCTGAGAATGTTGAAGCATTTACAACTATGCTTAGCTCACAGTGAGTGGCCACCATGAATTCATAGTGCAAGGAGACAGTGGCTTCAGAACTTGAGCTCAGATCCTCTGGCTCATATTTATTGTTCTTTGCACACTGCCTCCACAACATATACTAAATTGCTCTATTTACATATAACATGAGGTTCAACTTCTGAAGTATATGCAATACATGTATTGATGATTAGAAGTATTAGTTCATAATGTATGTAATCAGAGGCAAGCGTCTGGGAAAATATACTGACGATCCACTATTCTCTGTCTGTCACTATAGAATGGCAAATAAAAGGTTTGGCAGGGAACAAACCAAGACATATGGTTGTGGGCAGCAGTGCCTTAATGACAGAATATGATCCCCATAAGGAAATGTTTATGCTTGAGGAAAAGAATTCCTTCAGACCAATGTGCTCTGTAATACTGAGTGGAGGCTTCCTCCTGTTTGTTTGCTGTCATCAAGACAAACCAAACAGCCTGAAGCATCCTGGGGATGCTTGCTTTGACCCTAAGATACTTTCATTCTTTGAGTCTTTAAACCAGCAAGGAGGGCAAATGTCTCCAAAATGTCTCTGGAGGCAAATGGGTATAGCATCTAGTTGCAATACAAGGGTTCTCAAGCTTGGCCACTCATTAGAACCACCTGAGGAGCTTGTATAAATTCCAGCATCAAGGCCACACCCCCTGAACAATTACATCAGAATCTCTGGGAGTGGGACAGGCAGTAGTCGTTTTTTAAAGCTCCCCAGGTGATTCTAATATGCAGCCAAGTTTTAAAACCACTGCTGTAGTGGAGAATAGCATGTCAGAAGTTACAAACTCTGGAGCCCTGTTCTAGTTTTGCCACATACAGTTAAGTAAAATTAACTCTTAGAACCTCAGTTTATACTCTGCCTTGCTTTATGTTGTTCTGTGATTTGTTTGAGATAGTATGTGGGAAATAAGACATAAGTCAAGTTGGTGCAATTACATTTCTTTGAATGCTGCAGTCCCAGAAGTGGGGGGGGAAATGTTCAGATAAACCTAAGTAGAGTTGGATAAAAGATATGTCATGGGTAAAAGCAGAGTGAAAGCAGTGCCCAGTAATTCTCAGGAAGAACAAGAAGAGAAGAACTACATTACGGAGGTAATATAGAATGTTTTTCTACTAAGGATTACAAAACTGACACCAAGGCAAGATGTGTTTTTTATCACTAGTCACCCTAACTCATGGCAAACTGATGTATAACAGAAGAAATCTCCCAGTATATCTTCATGGTTATTGGTACGTTTGAGTCTCTTATTATATAAACAAACGTTACCATAAAAATAATTTGCAACTCACAATCTACTTATCTCAAATGCTATCCAATAGTACAAAGATTTAATGTAACGGAGAAGTTTAGAGAGTGTCTGAGCAGTGTAATATGATTTGACCTATATAGTGCATTTTATTGCCACTAGTAACTTAAGAAAATAATTGTTTTCAACATTGAACTATTATTAAAGAATATATGCAGAGCTCATTTCCCCCCTTCCCATATTCTAATTTCAGCGCTTCAAGATTCAAGTTTTATAGAAAAGTATTATAAATGGAAGAAAATTGATGTAACGCATCCTGAAGAATGGAATTTAAGGTAAGTAACTTGAAGTGTTTAGAATCCCATGAACTTGATGAGTCTGTTCTTTGATTTCTTCTAACTGAACCGTATGAGAAAAGAAAACCCTTTGGAAAAAACAACTTATGCTCTTTTCTAAGCATAAGGACAAGAATAGGAAATATTTCTTCCTTTCATATGAACCCAGGTGTGAAACATCTTTGCTACCTATTGTCTGCTAGGCATGGAGATAGAACATGAGGCACAGTGAAAGAATCCCATAATACTCTCTCCATGAATTCTCCTGCTTCCTCCCAGTTATCTTTTATCAATATACACCTTGCTGTTAAGTGTCTTCATGTTGGTTACAACTCATCATGACCCTTTGTAGGGCTTCAGTTGGTGGGTTTGATCCACCAACCTTACAGTTAGCTGTCCAGTGCCTCTCCTACAGCACCATACCAGAACTCCAATGTTTACCCTAGAAATAGTAAAAAGCAAACATAAACTTACTTACATGTCACCAATTTGTTGTTCATCCTTCTTCTAGCTCCAAATAGTTTTTTCCTCTTTCACACACTTCTCAGTAAGGAACCCAAAATATTAAATTTAATGAGGTAATATTTAATAAAATACAAAAGTAAACCATTACAGTATCTTTAGAAATCATATTGACTCTTAGACTAATGAGATAACTTGTTTTTCTCTTCCATCTTTTGCCTCCTAATAGTCTTTTCTGCTTTGTCATGCCAGAGTGAAGACTCATTTCTGTTGTACTAAGCCACGTTGCAATAGCCATTTGTTCTGATGTGCTTTTGTTCACATCAGCCGATGAATTGCTGTTGTTTTAGTTACCAATGAGTGGATTCCAACTCATGGAAACCCGTGTGTGTACAGTATAATTGCTCTATAGGGTTTTAAGGCTATGATCTTTTCAATCGCCAAGCCTATCATTTTAGATGCCTCCAAGTGGTTTTGAACTGCCAGCCTTTCAGTGCAGTCAAGCACTTAACTATTTGTAACACCTAGAGACTCTTAGTCAATGAATGTTGGGATATGCTGTCAAGTAGGTTTCAACGCAAAACTACCCTTTATAGTGTTTCCAAGGAGTAGCTGGTGGGTTTGAATTGCCATCTTTGTGGTTATCAGTCCAGTGCTTACCCTACAGTAAGTTGTTGTTGTTAAGTGCCTTCGATTCAGTTCCAACCCATAGTGAGGAGCAGTTGGTGAACCACCGTGACAACCTTGCAGTTCAACTGACTTTGCAGTCTGGCACCACACCAGGACTCTACCTTAAATCTAGAGGAATTAAAGATACTGTTAGTGGATTATGGCCTGGGCTGCTAACGGCAAGGTCAGTAGTTTGAATCTACCAGCCACACCGTGAGAGATAAATGAGGCTTTCTGCTCCTGTAAAAATTTACAGCCTCAGAAACCCGATACTGGGGCGCTATGAGTTGGTACCAGCTAGGTGGTAAACAACAAATTTTTATTTTACCTATTTTTTAGCTCTTCAACTTACTGTTAGCATTGTGAGTTTCCTACATGGAATTGTAGATCAATAAAAAGAATTCACTGGATTTTGACTTTGCAGTCCCTCGGTGGTACTCTGATGCTAACCAAAAAGTTGGGGTTCAATTTCTTTCAGAAGAGACACAGAAGAAAAGCCTGGTGATCTCCCCAAAATTTAGCCATTGAAAATCCTATGGATCACAGCTCTAGTCTGACACAATTGGGGTCACTGAATAGGAATTGACTCCACAGCAACCTTTTTTTTTTTAAATTTGTGTAACAATCAAGATTCTTAAAATATACTTCCTGCCCTTTAACATCATAGCTCATATTGTTTTGTTCAACTCGATTTTATTTTTTCAGTTTATTTCTGCAACCCCTTTCTTCAAACCATCATGAGGAAATAATTTTGCATCAGCCTCTTTTATGTCTTCAAAATAAATTATTGGCTTATCAGCATTAGTAAAGTGTTTATTAAGCAGAATTTGAAGGAATATATATATATGGCAAGTTTCAGGTTTCTTTTAGATTTGAAGAAACATACTTTGAATCTAAGGTTAATTTTGTTTTGATATGATTCCTTTTTTTTTCTAATTTCCTTTAACAGAACTTCTTTGTTTTATTTATTTGATCACTGATTCATTATGTATGGCCAGAACTTTATAGAGTCCCAAAATTTAGAAAAAGCAGAAGTATGTCATTTTCCACTTACCCATCCACTTCACTTCTATATGTGGCTGAAATGGTTGTGAGCTGTTTGAATGCTATTGGACATTTTTCTAAGTACCGTATTTTGAAGTTATAGGTCAAATTATCATGTGCATGGTGACCTTGTCAGAATAAAATTCTCACACCTTATGCCATCTGGTGGCTGATGAGAATATGAGTATACTTAGATCAGATGATATTTGCTTCTTTTACATTTGTGAGCTTATTAGTAAAAAATGAAACATGGTCTGTAGTAATTTATGTAAATGGAGTTTTAAAGAGATTTATTTATCTGCATTTTATTGGGGAACAAATATATGAGTACGCTAATGTGCAGAGATTTAAGAATTTTGAAATTCAATTTCAGTCACAGACATCTAATGTTTATCCGTGGGAGGAAGATAAGGCTTTCTGCTTCTGCAAAGAGCAAAGATTTAAAACCACAGAAACCCTATATAGGCTTGCTATGAGTTGGAACTGATTCGATGACACTTAGCAATAATAATAATGCTCATCAAAATACATGAGGGACTGTAAGTGGGCCATTTGTAAAAACTCAAGTAAAAAATAGTTGGGAAGCTATATAAGTAATTGTGGAGTCCTGGTTTTGTACTATGGATTGTACCACGGTGGTTCAAATTCACCAGCCACTCCTTGGAAACCTATACAGGGTCATTATGAGTGGGAACCAACCCAGTGACACAAGAACAACAAATGCAAGTAATTAATCAGTCTGTTTGTGCATGTAATTTATCATTGTACACAGTTCTGGTTTTTGTAGTATTTGAAAATGCCTTCTATATATTGAATTTTCCTATTTAAAAAAAAAAAATTGTTGTTGTTAAGTGCCATTCAGTCAGCTCTGACTCATAGCGACCCACTATAGGGTTTCCAAGGCTTTAAGCCTTTGCGGGAGCAGAAAGCCTCATCTTTCTCCCCCAGTGCAGCTGATGCTCTCAAACTACCAATCTTGTGGATTCAGTCCAAGGAAAATGTGAGGCATCTCATCAGTTTCTGATTTCCTTCTCCTACTGTTCTCTTGTCCCCTCATCAATCAATACCCAAGTCTCAAACAACACTAACTTATTTTTTCTTGCCATTCCGTAGGGACATAAGATCTCTTTGCCACTTGATACCTTCTACCTGGAATGTTTCTCAGCAGGGTCTTTGCTGGTGGGTTGGCATTATGGATTGATCTGTCTGTTTTAGAATACAAAATAAGGAGTATTTAAGTCTATGAGCCCTGGAGTAAAACTGCCTGGGTTTGAATCCTAGCTCTGCCAGTTACTAGCTCTGTGACTGGGGGCAAGTTGCCTGACTTCTTTTTGCTTCAATTTCTTTATCTGTTAGGTAGAAGTAATAATTTTATCTACTTTACCAAGGCAAAACAAGGCCAGGAGCCTACTGTTGAATTTACCATTGCTCATATGCAAATGCAAGGAGCTCTGGTAGCATAGTGGTTACTAATCGGGCTGCGAGCTACAAGGTCAGCAGTTCGAAACTACCAGCTGTTCCGTGGGAGAAAGATGAGGCTTTCTGCTCCCTTTACAGCCTCGGAAACCTTGTACAGGGTCACTATGAGTCGGAACTGACTCCACAGCACATAACACTAGCACATAAGCAAATGCAAGTTGAAGCTGAAGGAAAATAAAGCAAGTTCACAGGAGCCAAAGTACTACCCTGACTATATCTCCCCTGAATTTAGAGACATCTCAATAGATCTGATGCATTGAAAACTAATGACCAAAAGGCAGATGAGTTGTGGGATGACATCAAGGGCATATATGAAGAAGACAAAAGGTCATTCCAAAGACAGAAAAGGAAAGTGACCAAAACGAATGTTAGAAGAGATTCTGAACCTTGATCTTAAATGTAGAGTTGTTGTTAAGTGCCGTTGAGCCAGTTCTGACTCATAGCCATCCTGCATAAGTTTTCCAAGGAGTGGCTGGTGGGTTTTAATCATCAGCCTTGTGGCTAGCAGTCCAGTGCTTACCTTAAAATGCCACAATAGGACTCCAATGTAGAGTAACTAAAGGGAAAGAAAGAAATGAGGAAGTAACAGAATGGAAAATTTCAAGGGTAACTCGAGATGACCAAGTAAGTTACTATAATAAAATGTGCAACGTCCTGGAGCTAGAAAACCAAAAAGGAAGAACATGCTCTTCATTTATAAAGCTGAAAGAACTGAAGAAAACAAATCAAGCCATGCATTACAATATTGAAAGATTCTATGGGCAAAAGAAGTCCGAGTGTGACACTGCAGGATAAGCATTGGACTGTTAACTGCCAGGTAAGTGACTCAAACCAGCTGCTCCTTGGAAACCCTATAGAAAGTCACTATGAGTTGGAACTGACTCTATGGCACTTGGCAACAATAACAATGTGCAAAAAAATTGAACTATGTAGGAAGCGACAAAAGAAGATAGAAGAAACATGCAGTCATTGTACCAAAAAGGATGTTTAACCATTTCAGGAAGTAGCATTTGATCAAGAACCAAGAGTACTGAAGGAAGACATCTGCGCTGCACTGAAAGAATTGCCAAAAACCAAATTCCAGAACTTGATGGAATAACAATTGAGATGTTTCAACAAATGGATGCCATACTGAAAGTGTTGTAAGACCTTGTCAACCAACTGAAAAAGATCATATTTGCTTCCATTCCAAAGAAAGTTGGCCCAGTAGGGAGCAAAAATTATCAAACAAATATTATTTATGTCAAATGCAAGTAAAATTATGTTGAATATCATTTTTTAATGGTTGTAGAAATACACCAACAGGGACCTGCTAGAAATTCAAGCCAGATTCCGACGAGCATGTG